GAGTAGTCATGTATGTATGTATGAGAGTAGCCATGTATGTATGTATGAGTGTTATCATGTATGTATGAGATTGGTCATGTATGTATGAGTGATGTCTTGTACGTATGCGAGTTGTCATGTATGTATATATGAGTGTTGTCATGTATGAATGAGAGTTGTCATGTATGTATGTATGAGTGTTGAGATGTATGTCATGTGAGTGTCATGTATGTATGAGAGTTGTCATGTACGTATGCGAGTAGTCATGTATGAATGAGAGTTGTCATGTATGTATGTATGAGTGTTGGCATGTATGTATGAGAGTTGTCATGTATGTATGTATGAGTGTTGGCATGTATGTATGAGAGTAGTCATGTATGTATGAGAGCTGTCATGTATGTATGAGAGTTGTCATGTATGTATGTATGAGTGTTGGCATGTATGTATGTATGTATGAGTGTTGTCATGTATGTATGTATGAGTGTTGTCATGTATATATGTATGAGTGTTGGCATGTATGTATGTATGAGTGTTGTCATGTATGTATGTATGAGTGTTGGCATGTATGTATGTATGAGTGTTGTCATGTATATATGTATGAGTGTTGGCATGTATGTATGTATGTATGAGTGTTGTCATGTATGTATGTATGAGTGTTGGCATGTACGTATGTATGAGTGTTGTCATGTATGTATGTATGAGTGTTGGCATGTACGTATGTATGAGTGTTGGCATGTACGTATCAGAGTACCGGTGGTATTATAGGAACGCCCCTGGCGGGCGGGGGGTCGGACAGGCAGGCGGTCTGGTGGACGGGCAAGAATGAATTAATGTTTTTAGTTCTCAGGACAAGTTGATATTTGCTGCCCGGAACCATTCATTTTACGTAACTAAAATAAAAAGCTATTCCCTAAAAATAGTTTACTGTTGAATTTTACACGGGTCAACAGCTGAATTTATTTCGGGTAGACAGAAAAAAATATGTTAATGTATTGATATGGTTTTCAAATGCGTAAATATCCCTAAGGTTTTTTTTCTTTTGTCAGTTAAATGTAATAAGGTCAACATAGATTTTCAGAAATTCAATACAGCAAACGTCATCATAAAGTTTACTGATCACCACGAGCAAATGCATGAGTTGTCTACCAAATTACTTTTTGACACATACATGTTAAATTTCTTTAATATAACGGTAGTCAGACACACTCTGGATATGATTATAAACATTGAAACAATGTGTATTTGGCAAGGATTATTATTATTCATCATATTTAATTGTTGATACTATATCACTTAAAACTTTTTATATTTATCTTCACGCAATATTAGATAAGAATATCCAAATGATTCATTTCTTTTGTAAGAGGTTTCTTTTTTTGTCCGTTGTAAAGGTTGCAAATAAGAAATATATAAACTTACTGGCGAAAGATCTTAACCTAAATGGACTCAATGCGATGCTATGAAAAATTGTCAATGTATGTTTTAATAAAAATTGCATTGATATTTACTTCACGATTTATTGATCTTCTGCCATTTAGACGCCAGTATAAGACCGTTAACATTATATTTGCTAAATGAGGTGTTGTGTATTGGTATAGATGTCCGACCACCGATCTGAACGTCTCTGGTTCGATTTCTTACCAACACCACGTTATGTTTTTTTTTTCAATTTTACTTGCAATGATTACTATAGTTTGAAAATCTTTTTACTACACCTGGTTTTAGAATACCTTTTAAGTAGTGTTTTACACAATAATATTTGTTATTTCATTATTGTATATTTCAATCATTATGGTTCTCTTTGTGACATTATGCAATCGTATATGCTTTAGCGCATGTACACGCTATAAAGGCAGTTTGAAAAAGTACCACAGTGATAGTCAAATGCAAGAGTGCCAGGCAATTACACGAATACCACGCAATTTCAGTAGGACTGTTTTCTTTTTATAATAAGTAATCAGTAACGAATGTAACTTTTTGATATCCACATGAAAAAAAATGTCAATTTCGGTAAAAACTATGATTAAAAAACATAATGTGTTATGTCAACACCCAAAAGATCTGTTATAGTAAAAAATTGTTTATCTGACTTTGAAGAAGAAAATTTAGCCCCAGAAGTGCTTTTATTTTTTATTTTGTAAAAGCTTTTGATCTTTTAAGTATTATGTTTTAATTTCCAAAAGTGACTGACCAGTCATTATCCTAAATCATCTTTTGCTTCTGTTAATTTTAGGCAATTTAGTATAGTGATTGAGTATTGTTTATGAAAGTCAAATATTACTTTGTTTACATTTTGCTACTTTTATTACTAATAATGTTTAATCCCCCGCTACTTTTTTAAAGTGATAAGCAGCCGACATGCTCTTAAATCGTTATTTAAACGTTATTGAAACCCGTGCTTGAGGGGAAAATACTCGCTTCTGAGGCATAATGTGCCTTTATCATTCAGAACAAAACAGGAATTAAGGATGGAAGCGTAGCGTGACAAAGTATGTGAGAGTGGTGGATCGAGGGCAGAAAAAAGTAGCGTTTTTTTCTCATTAAAAATTTGTTCTTGAGGCAATTTACAAGTATTTATCCGTATTTTAATAATTATGTAAATTCCATCAGTATTTTTAATGCTTTGATTTCTTTTGCCTCTCATGGGACGTAAAAGCGCGCACTGACTATAGACTGTGTCTCGCAAAATATTGTATGACGTCGCAGAAACACGATGTCTGACAATTACAAACAATATAAATATACTGTTAAAACCAAATCCGAAATATCATCAACAGGTAAAAATTTGTACTTTTGGTTTCTACAAATATCATAATAATAAGCTTATAAATAATGTACTGTTTATTTTTTTATCTATAAAATTACTTTGAATGGACTTTCATACGATATAATGGAACAAACTTGGCCAACAACTCACAGCAATTACTTACTGTTTGTTTAGGTTTTGTAAGTAAAGCCGAAATACCAGATCCGTTCTTTGTATTTCGTGGTCATTTTCCGAGGCAAGCCTTAAAGTTATCTTTGTTTCCCCCTCCGCGACCCATGCTAGTATGGATAGGGTAGGTAGGTCGATAAAATATTTTTAACCAATTTTTTTTTCAATCAAAATTATATGGAGTTCAAGCAAATTGTGAATGTTTAGCATCACTTTAAAGATTTTTTGGGTAGCTGTGATTAGGTAGGTAGCGGAAGGGAAAAAAATATTTTATTTTAGGCCCTAAAAGTGACGAATAGGGCAGATAAGATTCGATTGTGGAAGTCATGGCGCTTCCAGAATGGCGGCTATCACGTGCAAATAACGAAATACGCCGTCGTTTTGTCATGTATGTATGCGAGTTGTCATGAATGTATGCGTGTTATCATATTTGTATGAGAGTTGTCATGTATGTATGGGAGTTGTCATGTATGTTTAAGAGTAGTCATGTATGTATGAGAGTAGTCATGTATGTATGAGAGTAGTCATGTATGTAAGAGAGTAGTCATGTATGTATGAGAGTAGTCATGTATGTATGAGAGTAGTCATGTATGTAAGAGAGTAGACATGTATGTATGAGAGTAGTCATGTATGTATGAGAGTAGTCATGTATGTAAGAGAGTAGTCATGTATGTAAGAGAGTAGACATGTATATATGAGAGTAGTCATGTATGTATAAGAGTAGTAATGTATGTATGAGAGTAGTAATGTATGTAAGAGAGTAGTCATGTATGTATGAGAGTAGTCATGTATGTATGACAGTAGTCATGTATGTATGAGAGTAGTCATGTATGTATGAGAGTAGTCATGTATGTAAGAGAGTAGACATGTATGTATGAGAGTAGTCATGTATGTATAAGGGTAGTCATGTATGTATGAGAGTAGTCATGTATGTATGAGAGTAGTCATGTATGTATGAGAGTAGTCATGTATGTATGAGAGTAGTCATGTATGTATGAGAGTAGTCATGTATGTAAGAGAGTAGTCATGTATGTATGAGAGTAGTCATGTATGTAAGAGAGTAGACATGTATGTATGAGAGTAGTCATGTATGTATAAGAGTAGTCATGTATGAATGAGAGTAGTCATGTATGTATAAGAGTAGTCATGTATGAATGAGAGTTGTTTTGTATGTATGAGAGTAGTCATGTATGTATGAGAGTAGTCATGTATGTATGAGAGTAGTCATGTATGAATGAGAGCTGTCATGTATGTATGAGAGTAGTCATGTATGTATGAGAGTAGTCATGTATGTACTTCCTGTGAAAACAATAAAACAAAGCTTGCAATATGATTATGGATAGTACTGTTTGAAATCATATATTGTATCGGCTCTTCGTTTACTTATAAAATGATGGCACTGTTCCTTCGTTTGTTTATAAAGTGATTGCAACGTCTTTTCGTCTGCGTTTAAAATGGTTTTATTGTTTCTACTATTACTTATAAAATGATTGATGTGTCTCTTCGTTTACTTATAAAATGATTGCATTGTGCCCTCTATGACTTATAAAGTGACTTTATTGTCTCCTACATATAGTTTGCTTATAAAATGAGCGTACTATCTCAGCGTTTGCTTATTTACTCTACTACATGTACTTCCATTTTTTTTCCAGAAAATATTGCGATTTTCTAAGCGCAATTACTCATTTGTCTTATTTTTATTTTCCTCTCATTTTTTGCCCTTTAAGTATTTGTAAATATGTGATTTTTATCTGGTCATTTTTTTCAGAAAATGCTTTTATCGTAGTCACGTAGTATTATAATTTGCACACTTTTATCAAACTGAAACAATTTTAAGGTCAATGTTTAAACGGAAATTGCTGGCTGTTATTGAAGAGAGTTCAGATATACTGGCGGCATTGAGTATAAGTGTCGTAGTGCCCATATTGTTTAAGAATAACTGTCACTAATAGCTTAACTTTATGGTTTATCTCAGAGAGTTTATATACTTTGAACATATATGATGATGTGGTGTTTGCTCGGACTTTCATTTCTTATGTGTAAGTACACATGTATTTATTCTTTAAATAGTACTTTGGAAAATGAATAAATGTTAGCGCACAGCACAGTAGATATTTGACGTTCTTCTCACGATCTTAATAAAGTAATACAATAGAGCTATATTATTAAAGTATAAACGTGTTGTTTATGGGAATACCTAATGGACAAGATGGAGTACGTAATAACAATTGATCATATAATGTGACAAGTCTAAATATAAATAAAGTAATACAACATAGCTATAAATAATGATTTACTATTAATACGTAGGGCTTTAACAATGGCAAAAACTTTATTAACAAAAAACATATTCTTCATTATTAAGTGCATTAATTTTAAGCTATCGTGAATGAAAATGTAGACTATGTCAGAATCTTATTTAACTAAGAAATGTATACATGTATACGGTAAAATAACACAGTTCTACATATGACATTATACATAAATATACATACTTATATTAAATGATTGAATACATTTAGATGATTGAAAACCGGAATCATCAGTTTCTTTTGTGTACTTTTTCTTAAATTTATTTACGCAGTACTGCTTTATTTTTGGCATTATCTTATTCAAAGCAGCATTCCTCCAAATTTTTGTCATTTTTGTGAAAATTGTGGAATCGCTAGCGCCTCGTACAATATAGGTTCACAGCCATGTAGTGTCCAATAGCAATAGATTTCAGTATTGTACTGATCATTGTATGATAACCTTATATTATAGCATATCAAAATATGCAGAAATCTAAGACAATGATCTGTAACTTTTTGCAGTCGACATGCACAATGTCACTTGAATTGTAACAGTTTAAATGTTTATATAGATCTTAGAACTTACTTTCCATTTATCTTATCTTTTGTTTGCCTTAAAGCTGCACGCCTCCATATAAAAATGATTAGCAAAAATATTTCAATAAAATCAAACCTGAGATTGATGATTTAAGATTTTAGGAAAAGTAAAGAGATTAAATATTTTAGTAATAGTTTAAATGTTATGCGCGATTAATGATCTATTTTTCAGCATTTATAACTATATTTCTTCTGCGTTACTATCGTAGTAAGCAGACCTGGGGTAATCACTAATCGTAATCATTGATTTTTTAATTGATTACATGATTACACTGTAATCATCATGTAATTGATTACCTTGCTCAAAATTGATTACATTAATTGTAATTAATCAATTACAGCTTAAATTCAGTCTGTAATTATGATTACAATTTGATTGATGTTGATTACTTTCAGATTTTACATGAAACTATTAAAAAAGAGGTCAAAATATACAAAAATAGCTCTTACTACTAGTAAGAGCTATTTTTGTATATTTTGACCTCTTTTTTGTAAGTTACATGTGTTGTATATTTGTAAATGCCATTGATAATGTGTAAATTGCATTCTTTTGGTATCTTTACAATACTATACTATTAAATACATTTTCAAATTTTCATGAAAATTAGCATGAATCTGTGGGTGGTAGGTGTAAGGAGGAAAAGTTGGGATAGTGATATATAATTGAGCCGCGTCACGACAAAACCAACATAATGGGTTTGCGACCAGTCCGATCAGGATCCATGCTGTTCGCTTACAAACCCTATAGCATGTAGAGAAACTGATAGCGAACAGCATGGATCCTGATCAGACTGCGCGGAAGCTGGTCGCAAACCCATTATGTTGGTTTTGTCGTGACACGGCTCATATGTATAATTAACATGCGTAAATGCTTCAAAATGTTTCGTACAATAGTATCTACGTACATAGTAATCTGTAAGTCCTTATTTGCATATAAATCATTCTATGTTATTCCACGAATGATCGATATCTCTAACAAATGAGTAATTGCCAGATATGCATAATGATGATGCTATTTTTCTGTTTAATGTATAGGTCACGTGATCTACGCAGCGGACATTGATTACTTGAGATCAACAATTACCAAACACTTCTCAGAAAATCGTCACCACGTGATCAACAATACTAACAAAGTAGCCTCCAAGGAATTCATTTACAACGAGTTTAACAGATTCGAGCTTGAAACCTCATATCATAACTTCAGTTTCACCGACATATCTAAAGTAAGTATCAGCGGTTTTATCTTATCGCTTGCTTGTGATGGGGAATAATTTTGAAATATGATATTACTTATCAAAAATTTTTATCCGCATTAAAATATAGTCTGGCTACTATGGAAGTTATATTTGATAATTTCACGGTGAAATTATCAAATTATAGTTTGACTGTCTATTGGCAAGCATGTTAAAATATGATGTTAGTATTATATTATCAAGTAAAGAGCCATTCCAACAAAGAAATATTGGCTTATATCAGAAGGCAATTGTCCATACAGATATATTTTTGTGTATTTAAGACATTAATGGGCAACTGTGCGTCTTAATATAAACGAACAAAACAAACAAATATCAACAAAAAACTCCTAAAAAGCGCAATAATTATCGAATCAGTTGAGTTCACTTTTAAAGGCGTGGAAAGAAATATTTTCATGCCACATTCTACAAAACGAAAGGCACTGCTTCTTATCTTCATTGATGATCTTATTTTCTAAAAAAAAGGGGTTTTATCTTATTTGTAATAACTTCCTGTCCCGTCCCTCTTCCACGAAATAATATTAACAATCGTTTTCAGAAAACTACCGCTATTACTTTTTTCTATTTCCCTATAAAAAAGAACGGTCATGATGGTGATTTATTTTTTCTGATGTTAATTAAACAAATAAACGTGTGGTCTTTATCAACCTGAAAAAAAGTTTGTTTTTGGAAAATTTCCGCGTTATCAACAGTTTACTCCTGGTGGGTCTTTTTTTCTTATCTGTACAGTTAAGCAAATATTATTGTGATGAGTGATCCACATTTTATTACCGAAATAGTTTTCTGAAAATCGTTATTGTTTTGTAGGTTATCATTTTTTAGGTTATCATTCGTTAAGCGTTCAAATGGCAATAAATATTGAGTGTCCTCAAATTATATATATTATACATCATAAACAAGGCTGCTTTAATGATTCCAAGGTTTTTGATTGTTTGTGAATATTTAGGGGTTAAAAAGCAAAATAACAAGCGATTAAATATAAATCATGCGTATTAAACGATCTAGCAGAAATTAGATAATACTATTTTTTCAGGTACCTTTTGCAAATGTCGTTGGTATTCTAAAGGGCACGAACTTTGGAAAGGTAAATGATAAGATTATCGGACTTGGTGCGCACTATGACACTGTGCAACATACTAAAGGTAATAATCGTATTTTATATAATATATTAGCATTGTCGATTGATATTGGTACGAAAACTTCTCTTTTGTGAAAAGTTATGTTTATTCACTCTTTTCGCTTAAAAGTAAACCATTTCTCTATGCTGGTATAATGAACAAGTCAAGTCCAAGTGAAAGCAGGATTATATTTATTGCAGTAAATCAAAATAATGCATCATTTTATTCTCTATCAACAGTCAAAACCAAAGTAAAATCCTTAACAACTTCAACAAATACATTTCTGCAATTACTAACCAACTCCAACTCAAAACCCCAACTCACTTCAAAACTCCTCAAAAACCCACCCAGCTAGAAAAGTTCCCAGCTTATATACCCTTCTGTTTGCGCAGCTAGGGTGGTGTGCAAAAGTAGACTGTCGCGCAACCCACTTGCGCTAACCAGTTTGGCACACAACTCATTGCGCGACCTGAATGTTGCGCGACCTATTAAAAGTGCTGACAATGCCTTAACAATGTTCAAAATGGCCTGCAACTGGTTCAGGTATACAGACTGTTGTACAATACAAACATAAGTGCAAAAATACATAATAGTTATATAAATTTACATGTTAACACTCAATAGCATAATTACTATCTGTCCAATAATGCAACTTAGTACATGTAATAGTGCAAACTACACTTGTATTAATAAAGATATATGTACTAAATATGGCTTATAAGACCAATACACTTACTACTGATTGACATTTCTATAAAGTTATAATACTGACTGATAATTCATTAAACAACAGAAATATAATCTCTCCAGCTTTACAACATATAGCTCAACATTTGAACCAAGTAACCTGTACATAGATAAAGCAGTAGGGAATCCCATTCATAAAATCTGATATGACCAAATTATGCTTTGTTAACAACAATTGAGATGCTGAAGGGCTAAAAATAACTTAAACCTTGTACTTTTAGTCTGCGCGACCTCTTATTGCGCGACCTCTCCATATTTGGAACTAGCATGCCTGGGAAAGCTGATTCTGCGCGACCTTTCCTATTGCGCGACCTTAAGTGTCGCGCGACCTTTGTCTGCGCGACCTTTCCAAATTTGGAATGAGGTATGCTCATAATCTAAAAATAACTGAGCTGTGCCAATATTCTGGACTGTTAATGACTCAATTGTTTTACAACAAAAATGAGAAAAGTTAACATAAACATTTTAACCAGCTTAGAAATGTTGTCCAGATATACCATCCTAAAAGAATACTCTTCTAGTAAAAGACTAGTTTCAAATTTCATAACACTATTCTCTTTTTAATCCTCTCCCCTTAAGAAATATGAACTTATATGAGAAATATATTAATATTACATTTAGTTGATGTAAAAACGACGGAGGCATCCTTTATTTTATTGTTCGCAGATAAATAATTGTTTGTAGAAATGAATAATTGAACGAATAAAACTACATTTTAACACGTTTGTTTGCTATGTACCAGCATTTGTGAAGTCTGTCCCTATATCCGAAATAAAAATGGCAGCAGAAGGTGGCTTACCATTGACTTTTTTGTTTGTATGGAAGGGGTAAAAATGTCATAACTGAAGTCAATGCTGTATTCCAAGGATCGGAAAGAGAAACAATTATAAATGCTTTTCACATAACATGTATTACGTTCCCTGGTCGTTATTTTGTTTAATTCACAGGAGTTGATGATAACGGTGCCGGTGTAGCTGCAATGTTGGAAGTTGCTAAGCAACTGACAGGCCAAAACAAACAAGGAGTTACGCGCAAAAACACAATTATATTTGTGTCTTTTGATTTAGAGGAAGAAGGTAAAATAATCTGAACAAAGATGTTTTGTTCCCTATATTTGCTGTTTAAGAATATTCAAAAATATGAACTGAATCGCAAAATGATTTATAATAATGTCTAACTACAGAAGAGGGGAAATGAATATGTTTTCTCTCTATAGTATGTGAGAAAAGTTGATTTGTGTTATCTGAATATTAGTATTAAAGTGCAAATAAAAGTATACATGTACATAAATGATAATCTTTGAGCTGTCAAAGTACAAAAGTGCATAGATTATTTTATTTATCATAGTACAAAAGTACGAGTATAACTGCGTCCAATGTACATGCAAATGTAGTGGTTATTTTTACCACGATTCATCTTTTCGTAATTTGGTCGCATATACGTTATTATGATACATGTATAAGTTTATTTCTGATTTGGTACTCTGGCTCCTATTCGCTAAAACCGTTGACTTGTTCTATTCGCAAACATTTCTCTTATTCAATATTTAATATCACTCCAATCATTGATGGATTTTTATAACAAAGTCACCCTTCTTTTGATATGGAATTCTTTCTTTGTTTTAGAGAGTGTCAAAAGCATTAACCAAAAGTGACCAGCCTTTGCAATTTGTATATTACTGTAAGGCGAACCTGCACATCGGTGACGTGTGACCAGGTCCTGTACTGTTAGTAGCTCAGATATTGTTTCCCTTAATCTTCAAAATATATAGATTCGGATGACATTTTAAGACACGGAAATAGTTCTAAAAGGAATTATAAATAAGTGACTTTTTTAAGATACGCTCAAAAAAAAAGGAGTTAAATCAAAAATAGGAGATAAAAGGGGAATAAAAGGGGAATGTTTAAGTTCTTGTAGTATGAAAATTCGCGACGAGTGAAACATAAGAGTTTTCATGCCACAATATGAAAATCAATCCTGTATTTATAGAAAATTCACTTGAATTTCTTGTTTATTATTGAAATTTTTCTTTTGTTTGACATTACAATTTGAAAGACTTTTCCTTTAATTTTGTAATTTGACTGAGTTTAGACGAATGTAGTCCGAAAAGACACCAGTGAAAAAACGGAAATCTGTTTCACTGCAGTCTTAAAGTAAAAAAGGAAAATAAACTATCTTTATGTAATCAATATTTTTTTAATATTTCAGAATTTATATTAAGGATATTTAAGAATATAATGAAAAGGGACACCATTTATTATGTAATTACGTGATTTACTTCATCGAGTGAAATTAAAATAAATATTTCACCAGCTCTCTTTTTATTTATTTTTAATAATTTTGCATATTGACGACAGTAGTTACGACACCAGTGCTATACGAGACATATGTTACACTGCAGTAATAGAAAACTTATTTTGATAAAAATTTATTCATAAATGTACAATGAATAAAACAATTTTCTATTTAACTTAAAGAATCAAACGTGTATGCTTATTTGATAAAAAATATTTATGTTCTTAAGAATGCGATGGAAAATTTAACAGATAAATGTCATCAGTTTTATATAGCCAATTATTATATTATTTTTTCATACGTACGAGAATTAATATTGGATGTATTTTTTTCACTACTATATATTCTCGAACAAAAGTATGAAAACATGTAACGAAAAAAATATCAGATGCTAGCGTTAATTTTTAACCCTACTATTTCATATTTAAAAAATATTGACCGACTTCTATTTATTTAAATGGCTTTTGTAATCCACATAAATGACAGTAATATTGACTCATTAAAAAGTAAGAGAAATATTCATCAAATTACTCCGAACAACTTTTTCATTAAATAAACCCATTTATAAGATAGAGGAATATTATCCGCAGAACGGATGGTACAATGCGTTCCGTCTGAGGTTATAAATATAGGGACTTTCTCTCTCTCTGCATGTGAATTTGTTGCTGAAAAAGTGCCTATTGGTCGACCTCCGGAAAAAGGACATCTGGAATTTCCTTTTTTTATTCTGGAACGCATTTTATGTGAGTAGTCATGTATTTATGAGAGTACTGATGTATGCATGAATGTTGTCATGTATGTATGCGAGTTGTCATGTATGTATGAGTTTTGTCATGTATGTATGAGGGCAGTCATGTATTTATGAGTGTTGTCATCTATGTATGCGAGTTGTCATGTATGCATGAGTGTTGTCATATTTGTATGAGAGTTGTCATGTATGTAAGAGAGTTGTCATGTATGTAAGAGAGTAGTCATGTATGTATGTATGTATGTATGTATGTATGTATGTATGTATGTATGTATGTATGTATGTATGTATGTATGTATGTATGTATGTATGTATGTATGTATGTATGTATGTATGTATGTATGTATGTATGTATGTATGTATGTATGTATTGTCAGAGTACATGTAAGAGAGTAGTCATGTATATATGAGATTGGTCATGTATGTATGAGTGTTGTCATGTACGTATGCGAGTTGTCATGTATGTATGGATGAGTGTTGGCATGTATGAATGAGAGTTTTCATGTATGTATAAGAGTACCGCTGGTATTATAGGAACGCCCCTGGCGGGCGGGGGGTCGGACAGGCAGGCGGTCTAGTGGACGGGCGAGAATGAATTAATGTTTTTAGTTCTCAGGACAAGATGATATTTGCTGCCCGGAAGCATTCATTTTACGTAACTTAAATAAAAGCTATTTCCGAAAATAGTTTACTGTTGAATTTTATACGGGTCAACAGCTGAATTTATTTCGGGTAGACAGAAAAAAAATATGTTAATGTTGTATTGATATGGTTTTCAAATGCGAAAATATCCCCAAGGTTTTTTTCTTTTGTCAGTTAAATGTAATAAGGTCAACATAGATTTTCAGAAATTCAATACAGCAAACGTCATCATAAAGTTTACTGATCACCACGAGTAAATGCATGAGTTGTCTACCAAATTACTTTTTGACACATACATGTTAAATTTCTCTAATATAACGGTAGTCAGACACACTCTGGATGTGGTTATAAACATTGTAACAATGTGTATTTGGCAAGGATTATTATTATTCATCATATTTAATTGTTGATACTATATCACTTAAAACTTTTTATATTTATCTTCACGCAATATTAGATAAGAATATCCAAATGATTCATTTCTTTTGTAAGAGGTTTCTTTTTTGTCCGTTGTAAAGGTTGCAAATAAGAAATATATAAACTAACTGGCGAAAGATCTTACCTAAATGGACTCAATGCGATGCTATGAAAAATTGTCAATGTATGTTTTAATAAAAATTGCATTGATATTTACTTCACGATTTATTGATCTTCTGCCATTTAGACGCCAGTATAAGACCGTTAACATTATATTTGCTAAATGAGGTGTTGTGTATTGGTATAGATGTCCGACCACCGATCTGAAGGTCTCTGGTTCGATTCCTTACCAACACCACGTTATGTTTTTTTTTCAATTTTACTTGCAATGATTACTATAGTTTGAAATCTTTTTACTACACCTGGTTTTAGAATACCTTTTAAGTAGTGTTTTACACAATAATATTTGTTATTTCATTATTGTATATTTCAATCATTATGGTTCTCTTTGTGACATTATGCAATCGTATATGCTTTAGCGCATGTACACGCTATAAAGGCAGTTTGAAAAAGTACCACAGTGATAGTCAAATGCAAGAGTGCCAGGCAATTACACGAATACCACACAATTTCAGTAGGACTGTTTTCTTTTTATAATTAGTAATGAGTAACGAATGTAACTTTTTAATATCCACATGAAAAAAAATGTCAATTTCGGTAAAAACTATGATTAAAAAACATAATGTGTTATGTCAACACCCAAAAGATCTGTTATAGTAAAAAAATTGTTTATCTGGCTTTGAAGAAGAAAATTTAGCCCCAGAAGTGCTTTTATTTTTATTTTGTAAAAGCTTTTGATCTTTTAAGTATTATGTTTTAATTTCCAAAAGTGACTGACCAGTCATTATCCTAAATCTTCTTTTGCTTCTGTTAATTGTAGGCAATTTAGTATAGTGATTGGGTATTGTTTATGAAAGTCAAATATTACTTTGTTTACATTTTGCTACTTTTATTACAAACATTTTTTAATCCTCCGCTACTTTCTTAAAGTGATAAGCAGCTGACATGCTGTTAAATCGTTATTTATCAAAACGTTATTGAAACCCGTGTTTTAGGGAAAAATACTCGCTTCTGAGGCATAATGTGCCTTTAAAATTCAGAACAAAACAGGAATTAAGGATTGAATCGTAGCGTGACAAAGTATGTATGTGGTGGATCGAGGGCAGAAAAAAGTAGCGGTTTTTCTCATTAAAAATTTGATATTGAGGCTATTTACAAGTATTCATCCGTATTTTAATAATCATGTAAATTCCATCAGTATTTTTAATGCTTTGATTTCTTTTGCCTCTCATGGGACGTAAAAGCGCGCACTGATTATAGACTGTGTCTCGCAGAATATTGTATGACGTCGCAGAAACGCGATGTCTTAAAATTACAAACAATATAAATACTGTTATAATCAAATCCGAAATATCATCAACAGGTAAAAATTTGTACTTTCGGTTTCTATAAATATTATAATAATAAGCTTATAAATAATGTACTGTTTACTTTTTTATCTATAAAATTACTTTGAATGGACTATCACACGATATAATGGAATAAACTTGGCCAACAACTCACAACAATTACTTACTGTTTGTTTAGGTTTTGTAAGTAAGGCCGAACCAGATCCGTTCCGTATATTTCGTGGTCATTATCCGAGGCAAGCCTTAAAGTTATCTTTGTTTCCCCCTCCGCGACCCATGCTAGTATGGATAGGGTAGGTAGGTCGATAAAATATTTTTAACCAATTTTTTTTTCAATCAAAATTATATGGAGTTCAAGCAAATTGTGAATGTTTAGCATCACTTTAAAGATTTTTTGGGTAGCTGTGATTAGGTAGGTAGCGGAAGGGAAAAAGATATTTTATTTTAGGCCCGAAGAGTGACGAATAGGGCAGATAGGATTCGATTGTGGAAGTCATGGCGCTTC